CCCTATGCGGACCTACACGCACGAGGTACGCGAGCTCTCGCTGTGTCTCCTAATTGTCTCGAAATTGACAGATGGGCGGAAATATCAGGTTGTGACACTCTGGTATCGCGCACCGGAAGTTCTGCTAGGCGCGCGCTACTACTCCACCGCAATTGACATGTGGTCAGCGGGGTGCATCATGGCGGAGATGGCCCTCCGCGGGCAGCCGCTCTTCCCCGGTGACTCTGAGATCGACCAGATTTTCAAAATCTTCAGGTTCACCCTCTCCCAAATGGGCGCTGTATCTAGCTGATGGCTGGTATCCTGCAGAGTATTGGGCACGCCGACCGAGCACACTTGGCCCGATGTGAAGAACATGCAAGATTACAAGCCGACGTTCCCGCAGTGGCATCCGCAAGATTTGGGAGACCATGTGCCGACGCTGGACGCTCACGGCATCGACCTGCTTCAGGTAGCCTTCGTTTGTTGAAGCGCGTCAGATTCACTAACGAACGCCTGATTGCAGCTGTGTTTGGTCTTCGACACGTCCAAGCGCATCTCCGGTTCGTCTCCGCCCCTTTGCTCTCCCTTTCACCCATGCTGATGTGATGTCTCGCAGCCAAACGCGCTCTTGTGCACCCGTACTTTGCGGGCTACACGCCGCCTTCTTAAATAACCATCAAGCACGCACGCTGCAGCATCTGTTCGTCTTCCACATCATTCTTGTATTCTTCTCATCGTCGACGCCTCGCATTATGTCTGTCTCGTTAGTCTTGCATTATGTCTCCCCTAGCTGCATTTGGTACCCGTATCCGTACGCACGAATATTCTTCAGTATACAGCGAAGCTTGCGACGCCTCCGGCGAAATTGTTTGTGAAGCTGCAAGAAGTAAATCTGATTCCAAGGCCACAATGAATGGACTGTCTTTCTTCGTACGCGGACAGGAGATGGCCGAAATCTCGCAAAGCTCAGAACCACGCCTCTGACTCCAGTAGCGAAACAAATCCAGAACATACGGAAATGCAATATGCGACAGTAATACACTATATTTACATTCTGATAGATATTATAACCATCCCATAAGATGTTCTACACAAGATACCCACGAACGGAAGAGAGACCAGCGGAGGTTACTTAGTATTTATTCCATCTTCTCCCCCAACATACCAGCCAAAGCCTCACTTCCACCCTCCGCAGACCCACTGAACACAGCAAACTTGGCGCCCTCCTGCCTACCCTCCTTGGAGTTCCATCCGCTCGTACGCTTCTCAAACACTTCGGGGCTCCGGTCGAGCAGCATATCCAGGTCCTGCTTGCTGATGACGGACGTGGCGGTGGCAGGACTGGCAATGTCTACTCGCGAGCCCTCGATCTCTAGCATGTTTGCGGCGAGCTCGGCGAGGCTGGTCGAGCTCTTCGTGGGCGCGGCGCCGGTGGGGTTCTTGTATTTGCCTGAGTGCCACGCGGTTAGGAAGCGGACGACAGTGGAAGGAAGGGCGAACGTACCTTTGGCGATGACTAGCGCCTCGAGCTGGCGTTTTGCAGAGGCTCGCTGCATGATCTTCGTCTCGATGGTGTTCTGGGTTACCATGCGGAAGATCAAGACGGGCCTAGTCTGTCCGATGCGATGAGCGCGGTCCTGTGCTTGGATGTCCATCTGCGGGTTCTGTACGACCAGACAATTCAGTCTCTGATCTAGTTGGCGAAGGGAGCCGCTATCACTTACCCAGTCTTGATCATAGAATATCACCGTATCAGCGGCAGTCAGGTTGATGCCCAGCCCTCCCGCCCGCGTACTGAGCAAGAACAACCGCGGCGCATCAGGCGCATCCCCGCCACTCTGGAACCGCTCCATCTCATCTCTTCGCTCGTCAGGTGACGTGGACCCATCGATCCTGCATAGCTCCCACCCCTTGCAATCACTCGCCCACGCCTCGATGATATCGAGCATCGTCGTGAACTGGCTGAATATCAGGACTTTGTGGCCACCGCGGAAGAGCTCTTCCAAGAGCCGCTCGAGCAGCATCATCTTGCTGCTGGCGTTGACGAGGTCTTGGTTCGCGATGGGCGCCTGGGTGCGCGGGTCGAGGGGCCAGTCGAAGAGGTAGGGATGTGAGCAGGCTTTGCGGAGCTGCATGATAATATTTTGAAGACGCAGGTTGTTGACTTGGCGTACTATAACCGCCATCAGCGATGTGACATCAAGAAGAGAACAGTACGAAAGGATATAATACCCACAGGCTGATTGCAACTGCCACTCCCTCCCCATCTCCTCCGCACTCTTCTCCTTCTGACGGTACCGTTCATCATCGAACTCTCCCCTCTCCAACCTCTCAAAATACTCGTCATCATCCCCATCAAGTATATCAAACTTCTCCGTTGTCTTGCCTTTCTTCTCTCTCTTCTTCCCCTTCCCGTCCTCCTTCTCTTTGGCGCTCCTCAACTTCCTCCCCTCAGTCTCCTTCCCACCCTTCCCACTCTCCTTCTTGTTCTCCCCCGTCTTATTCTTATTCTGCACGAGCAACCGCCTCAGACCACCATTGATAATCGCATCGTACAGCTCCTTCTGCCTCTCGCTGAGCCCCACATAAATCACATACTCCTTCTTAGGCGGCAGATTCAAGCCAACCTCAACGTCAGCTTTCGTGCGGCGCAGGAGGAAGGGCTTCAGCGTTGCGTGCAGGCTTGCGATGATCGCCTCTGCGCGCTCGGCGGACATGTGGTCTTGCAGATTCGAGAGGTTGAACCTGCGTATGATGTTACTATCACAGGTTGACTGAGAGGGAGATGGAATATGCTTACCATTGCTGGAACGAATCGAGGTTGTCGAAGAGGTCCGGGAGGATGAAGTTCAGTAGTGACCACAGCTCCGCTAGGTTGTTCTGCCGAAACAAGAAATCCACGATTAATCATGCACCCCTCTCGAATGCGTTCACGACTCCACCTCACCTGCAACGGCGTCCCAGTCAACACAATCCTCCCAGCGCTATTATACTTCTTAATCTCCTGCATTAGCCTGCACAACACCGTTAAGTTCAATCACATCCTCATGCTCGGCCAAGCCGTCTAGTGAACCAAGACTCACCGGCAGTCAAAGTTCTTCAACCTCTGTCCCTCATCCACGACGATGAAGCCCCATTTATACTGGCTGAGGAACTTTTGATCCTTGATGAGCAGCTCGTAGGTCGTGACGACAACGGGGAAGTCGCTCCAGCCGCTATTCTCGGACACATGCGGCTTCTCCTCCTCTTTCCCTTGTTCGTTCGGCTGTTGCTCTTGGACGTTCTCCTTCACTTCTTCCTCTTCTTCCTCTACCTCCATGGCCTGTTCGTCCTCCTTCTCGTCTTCGCTTTCCACTCTAACGGCCTTCTTGCCACGTGTACTCCTCCTCGACGCAGGGGCTTTCTTCCCCTTTCCTTTGGCTGGATTTTTCTTCGCACTCGCTTTTGCGCCAGATGCCTTGGCCTTCCCCTTCGCCCTCGCCTTGCCCTTCGGGTTCACCGAAAAGTCAGGTGCTTCGGTGTCAGGTGGAGGCACGAGGACAGTGCGGCGTAGCTCTGCGCGCGCGGCTGGCGTACCATGATACATGCATACAGGGATCTGCAGTAGAAGGCAAGGCATGTTAGATACAATATTCAAGGGGGAAGACAATGGAAAAGAAGCTACGAGAAGGTTGTGACGACGAAAGAAATGAAACGAGTATATAGTGTGGTAGTCTTACGCACCCCGGGAGCAAAGCGCTGGTACTCAGAGACCCAGTTGTGCAGGACACTCAGTGGACAGACAACGAGGAAGGGTCCGCTGATCTTATCGCGAATGTATGCTGAGAAGGCGATCGTCTGAAGGGTCTGTGTACACTAAATCAGTGCATGGCAGGGCGCAATTCAGGTTTCCGCAGACCTTCCCTAGTCCCATCTCGTCAGCTGAGCAAACGTGAGCAAAGTATTAGTACACGATTCATCGCCCATATGGGGCTGACGTACCGAGGATACCACTGATTCCGTTGTCAAAAAGTCCCGCCATCCAGGCCACACCTTCCAGCTGATAATCCTTCAATTTTGCGCCTGTGACGAGAGCAGGCTGAGTAAACTTCGTAAGCGCCCCATCATCGACGACAGCCTGCTCCTCCTCATTCTTTCGACGGTCTTCAGACAGCCTAGCGCGTTTAGACGTCGTAAATTCAGATTCGGAGTCAGAGTCCACCGGAAGACGGCGTTTCCTAGTGTTTGCCTTCCCCTTCTTCCTCTTTGTCTTCTTCGTTGCCGTAGAGGGAGGCGCAGGCGATGCAGATGCGGAGTCGTGCGACGCATGCGCCTTTGCCAAGTCCATCCTCTGCTTCAGCAGCGTGGCGTACATCGCCGACTTCTCTAACAGGTTTTCTAGGCGCGTGTAGCGCTCATCTAAAGGCTAAAAACCACGGATACTCTATCTGAGTACGAGGTCTCGACGTTAGTCCCGGAGAACACTGACCATGTCCTGAATACGCGCCATAGCCTCTTCGGCCAAAACGTTCGATTCCTAAGCAATAGGTCGTGTCAGCGACGCCGGCTATTATAACGCTCAGTATGCTCACTTCAGCATCTTCCTCTGCCTTCAGGTTCTCTTCATCTTCTGGAGGAGGCGACGTCGCGGGCGTGCTGGAAATTGGCGTAGCCGCCGAGGACGTCGGGGGTAGGCTGGTGCCCAGACACGGCGACGAGGGTTCAGACATAGGAAGTGGATTGTATGCTCGCCAAAATATGCAGTGTCGCTTGTGACAGGCGGCCGGGCAGTTTGGACGCTTGGGCTGTGGCCGGTGCTCTTTCAATTGGAAGAGAGCAAGGGCACGCGCCATAACCACCGCGCACGTGATGGTGACCGTCACATCATTCACCGTTCAGCAACAAACAGGTCATTCATGAGGGCACCCGCTTCGACAAATTCTACGCTGTAGAAAGCTTTCCATGGCTCTAAGAAAGTATTCGCCAAGAAAATGAAAAAATTGGACATCAATGCTAAAATCGTGCAGGAACAAGATACATGCTTGAGCCGGGAATCGAACCCGAGGCGGAGCCATGGGAAGACTCCATGTTACCACTACACCACTCAAGCTTGACTCATAAAAGCCGTAATACTTATAATTACCAATTATAAATTCAAAGTTATAAACTAGCGATGGGAAGCACGGGTCTCTCTCAAGCATAGTATTCATCCATTCGTAATCGTTGCACAAAAGATCACCTCAACCTTGGGCATTCGTTTCCCTAGATCTGACGAGCTGAACGTACTGCTTATACCTCCCAAATAACTCCGGATCCCCTCGGTCTTTCTTCCTTCCCGCCGCATCTATCTCTGCCATCTCTTCAGGAGTGAGGTCAGGCATGTCAAGGACCGCGAGGTACTCTTTCATGCGGTCCTCTTTCGAGGAGGTACTATTTCGAGTATCAAAATGCTGCATCCCTTGAGATGTGGTGACCACATACGTTACGACGACGACACCCTTCTGAAGACACCACTTGAACAGGACTTGGCCTTCCGTGACAGGCTTTCCCCAAGTCTGCTCGAGTCTTGTACGAACGCTGCTTAACACGGGATCCAGAGGCCCACCAGGCTCGCGAGTAATCGGCGCGAGCACTCCGTAAGATTCGAGGCGGATGCCATGCTTGTTGGAATACTCCAACAGAGACTCGAATGCGCCCAAGACGTATGGGTGGAATTCAATCTAATCGATGGTCAGCTCGACTGAGGAAAACATTCCTATTGTAAGCTCTTACCTGATTGACAGCAGGCTTGATGGTAGCTTCAGACAAGAACTCTTCGAAGTCCTGAATCTCAAAATTCGACACCCCAATCGAACGCGTAAGACCTTCTCTCTTCACAGCCTCCATCTCCTTCCACACCTCCTTCATCCTGCCAGAAAAATGCATCGGCGCATGTACAAGGTACAAATCCACATAATCCAGCTTCAGCTTGCTGAGAGACTCCTGCAAAGCGTCCTTCACCGTCTCACCCTCCTTCAACTCTGCCACTTTCGTCGTGACGTACAGCTTCTCACGAGGGACACCACAGTCGGCAAGGGCGGCGGCGAGCTGATCTTCGGTGCGGTACATCTGCGCGGTGTCGAAGTGCGTGAAGCCAGTACGAAGGGCAGTTTTCGTGGGGTCCACTGCATCCTGCTTCATGAGAGCCGTGCCAGTGCCGAAACCGAGCGCTGGGATGCTGGTGCCATCGTTTAATGAGAAGGATGAGGTAGACATGGTCTGTTAACGGGGTCAGGAGTAGCTGCGGTATCGTCGAGTCCTGAGGTGAATGTCTGGAGCTCCTGATTCTGCTGGGTCTTTATACTCTCGCTGATGCTTGACGCAGACGTCTGACGACAGAGTCTCGTTCATCTCTGCAGAGTGATCAGAATGGTGAGAAGGAAACGCACCTTGCGAGCAAAGTCCGAATGTCCTCGTTCGCCACAGTGCAAACATAGCGATATTGTCGGACTATTGACGTCGGTATATATCAGGACGCTCAGTACGCACGGTCCATTCGCAAGGTAACCATGAAGCAACGGAACCCTCGTCCAAATGTTGAACGCTGAAGATTGGTACAGGTAAACATAGCAAGATATGACGGGATACACCGCCAGGAACCAGTACACTTACTACTTAAGCTTTAAGCTTTCGGAATAAAGGCCAAATGCCCACGTGGCCTTCAGTTTACATATTATGTAATGCGCTGCAGCCCGACCTTTTTTGCATTTCATCAAAATCCTCTTCATTCCCCTCTCTGCTCAGGCCAGCAATCCTCGAGGACTACTCCTGCGACTGTCTCGCGATGAACTTTATGTCAGTCTCCTGGTCTCGGCTGCTATCGACGGCGTCGAGAACAAGCACGCGAAGCTCAAGGGCAATTAAAAGTCTAACGCAGCACTTTCATATTTCTGCTGTACGCAAAATAGACGGCGAACGTGCCTGCTTTACCTGTGGTGAAGGTGCGTGGGTGTTTTTGCGCTGTCGGTGCTACGGAGGTGTGGCGCATTAGACTACAATTCTTGGGGAGGCTTTTTCCTATTTCTTGCGTGCGGAGACTTGTGCTGACGGGCTTTATGGTCCTTCTTTTATGTACCGCAAATTTGATACGAATACGACATACCAATGGCGGTCAATACGCGATTTTAATCCATGCCTATGTTGTCCCTTCGGGCATGGAACTGCCGCCAACACCCTGCCATCTTGTTGATATGCAGTCGGACACTTTGCTTCTGACTGCACTAAGGGCCTTATCTGGTAAGGAATTTCCTCCTGACCATGCTCGAGGTTTTTTTGACACCGTGCTCTGCTACTGTTAGCTTCAACTGTGAGCATCTTCCACCCTTGCACTTACAACAGTGATCTGATTGGGGTTGTAGGCCGCGGGGAGGGTCACTTTGCGCGTGATTGCACTGTAAAAAAGCCCTGCTATAAGTGCGGTGAAGAGGGTCATTCTGTTAGTGCTTATGGGGACTTGAAGGACTCGACACTGACCTCGTGCTTTTCGACCCTAGCCCCGGGATTGCCCACAAGAAGCACTGTGCTACCGGTGCGGCCAGAGTGGCCACTTTGCACGCGATTGCCCC